CCCCCGCACCTTGACCTGGCCGTACTGCCACACGATGTCCGCCAGCTCCGGCCCACACTCTTGGTACGCCAGCAGCCGGGCAGACACCTGCGCAACAAGGAGCGGGGAGGGGCACTCGGCCTTTAAACCAAAGCAAACGACCATGGCGGCATGCACTCGCGGGCTCGACCATCCAAAGCGCGGCCAGGGCGTAGTGTCCGAGGGAAGTCGGTGCGCGTGCAGTGCCGGGAGCGCACGCGATTTCGCAGCATTCGAAAGGAAGCCGGGTGGGAGCTTGGCGAGCCGGGATTGAGCTGGGCGGGCCGCACCTGCTTGATGGTGGTGCGTGCCTCGTCCTCCTCCGCGGCCAGCGTCGCCGCGACGGCCTTGAGCGCGGGGACGCTCTCCGAGGTGTAGGTGGCGACGTGCAGCTGCGACTGCAGCACGCGCAGCTTGCTGCGGGCGGAGGGGGGCATACGAGCCGGGCTTTCTGTGCATGAAGAGGGGGGGCCAGGCGCATGGCTCCCCGCTAGCGCTAGACTTGATACCAGGTTGAGCAATATCGTCTTCACAACCATGCTTGATGCCGCAATCTGCCATCCTGCCTGCAGCTCGTGCTCGCCCGATCCCCCAAACTAGCACAACCGGCCGCTGGTCCCCGGACGTATCACGTCTGCGCACTCCCCCGACTGCAGTGCTCCGTCTGCTGTGCGCACACCTGACACACTCCTCAACAAGGACAATCACACCCACATGCACGACATTTCCCCAAGTTTACCAAGCCCCAACGCATGCACCCTCCAAAGGACACTCCTCACCTGTGCAGCGTCCTGACGTGGCTGACCAGCCACCTGCAGTGCTCCGCGTCCAGCCGCGCCTGCTTGCCCACCAGGCTCCCCTCCACCAGCTGCAGCAGCACCCCATGCACCGACCCCAGCGCGTCCAAGTAGCCCCGGCACAGCGCCGCGTGGCGCCGCAGCAGGCGGCCGGCCTCGGCCTCGGCCTCGCCGGCGGCGGCGACCGCGTCGCGGACCGCCTGCGCCGCGTGCGCCGCCGCGGACGGGTCGCCTGCGGCGACGCGACAACGGGATGCCGGGATACCAGTAGAGAGGGGATGGGGGTGAATTTTTTCTGTGTTAAGTAAAAGCAGCTGTACCTTGCGAAAGACGCCCCCTCCCCAGACGCCTCCCCCATAAAGTACGGAATTGTTTGAGGCGTTTGTGTTGGCTGTCATCTGCACGCGGTCGTTGCTGGGGCAGCGTCCCCGCTTAGGGCAGCCCACCGCCCGTTCCCCCGCAACACCGCTCGCCGCGGGCGTCGCACCCGACGCGCCGGCCCCCATGACGGCAGATATAATTGAGTCCGCGAGCGCCGACAGCCGCGCCTCCACTTCGCGCGCTGCCCCGGCGTGCGCGCGCTGCCGATGGGGCCAGGCAGGGGGCGGGACAAATGCGGGGTCAAGTATGGTGGCGGGAACAGACTCAAAGCAGAGCACCAAGTCGTTCAGATCACACAGCCCTGGTTTCAGCAAGAAGCGCCCACGACCACTGATTGATTGGGCCCTAAAATTGTCAATCGACAAGGAGCGCCGCCGCCCCCCGCACGCACCTGAGCGGCGGCTCTGTGCAGGCAGTGCTGCTGCCGCAGCGTCTCGGGCGTCACGCCCAGGAGGTGCCACGGGCTGCCGTCCCGCTGCGGGTCCACATCTGCGAGTGTTAGCGAGGCGCCGGTGAGAGGCAGTGAGCGGCAGGTCGAGTCCAGGTGGGATCACTCACGCACGTGCAGTGCGTTGTAGTTGCTGACAGAGGGTGTGCTGCCAGAGGGTGTGCAGATGAAGCCGCTCGCTCACCGCGTTCCTCTGCCTGCTGCTGCTGCTGCTGCTGCTGCTGTTGGTGTAGGCCTGCAATGCCTGGTGTCCCCTTGCGGCCCGCCAAGCTGGAGGTTGGGGCGTCTGGCAGTTGTAGCCGCTGCATGGCCCTGGCCACCTGCGGGACAAGCCCACGAATGGGCGCAACATATCAACCAATTGAGGCGTATGTACTATTCAAAGCACCATCAGGCCCCCCCTCCTGCAGGCAAGGCGGCGCAGTCATCGCTGCCGAGGGCGGGCGCACACTCGCGCAGGGCAACCGCGCGTAGTGTGGCCGCTGCTGAGCTCCCCACCTGCAGGTGCCGCCCGAGTGACGCGTACGTGGCCGCGCTGCAAGCCAGCCCGGCTCCCCGCAGCGCGCTCGCCGCCTGCGCGGCCGCCGCCGCCGGGCCTGCGGCCGCGCCCGGGCCCGCCGCGGCCCCGGAGGCCGCGGGGGCGGGCGGTGGACTGCTGTGGGTGTCCGAGAGCCCGAGGCTGGCCAGCAGGGCCTCTGCCTCGTTAGCAAGCCCCTCCGCGGCGTTCAGCACGCACTGCTGCTCAAGGTACCTGAAGATCAGGTGCATGGCACAACGCAGTCTGGTTGCTGCTGCGCTGCTGGTAGTGCTGCAGCACGGCGGGCGCTTGCGCTGCATGCCGTCTCGCAAGAGTTTGGCACAGCTTCAACGAATCCTGGCGCTAATTGTGCCATATTTTCGCCATGCACTAAAGCCCAACCTGGCTCTGGAAGTGTCCAGGGCTGCATCAGAAGATTTGCTTTGGGCGTCAATGGCGTGCCAGACACCTGCGCATGCACCGGGGCAGTAGGTCGCATTGCTCAATTCCACATTGCGCCGCAGGCCTGGGCATCAAATCATCGTCGCTCTGTAGCTCATAGGTGCTCTACCGCACCATTTGCCGTGGCCTGGGCGTCCACAAGTTGGAGGCTGGCGCTCGGCATGTTTGAATCGCCGTGATCTGTATGATCCCTGATGCTACGATGTGTACATTTTTGTGTGCGCTGTGACGCACAATCATTCAGACATGCTTGCTGTGCACGCGTCAAATCGCCGTCAAGTGCTGAGCAAGTGCCACATGGACGTGGTGAGTCAGTGAGTGCAGTCGGTGGGTGGGCGGGTGGTTCAGTGGTGTCGCGTTTCTATCTCCGATGCATCGCACACAAGGTATGTGCAATTTCCATCTTTCTCCTGTGGTTATTGATTCATACACAAAGGCATGCACGCCAACCACGACTTACAGAGGTCGAGGGGGTGACAGCTGTGCCCCAGAGCACATGCGCAACACCTGAGGCGTGTTGCTGGTTAACGTTCCAGCCCAACCTCGACGTAGCACAGGGTCCCTGATCCTTTAGATCATGACCAATCAAGCTGTTGCGCTTGCAATAACGCCCTACACTCTCAGTGACCCCCTGGCTGCAGAAGTGGGCCAGCATTGAAATGCAAACAGCAACTGCTGCAGCGTGCTGCAGAACCGCGGCATCCAGGCAGCCTCCGCTTGACAACGATCACACAAATACGCGCATGATTGCAGGCGCTGCAGGTTGAGTGTCTAAGGCATGGCAGCTGACTGGTCGAGGGCCGCAAAGCCTTGTGGCAGAGGCACGTCACAGCTTCCAAGTACATTGGCATGGCCTAGCATCTCATCTGACTGGATATTGAAAACCTGGAAATTCACTTCACACCTTCATCCTGCGCAGGCCGGCGGGGGCAGCATTCACAGCACCTGCAGCTAAAAGCACCAATACAGATACATCGTCAAACAATTGCACCGCTATGTAACAGACACTTATGTGAAAGACTGGGGTGAGGCACTTGACCTAAAAAAGCACCCATTCACCAGTCCTCTTCATCGTCAAACTCCTGCTGCCACCCTTCCACCTGCATACGTCCCGCCTGCTCTACCCCTGCTACCGCCGCTACCCCTGCCTGCTCGTCCACCTGCCGTGCATCGTAGTGTGCCGCAGCCCCGCAGCCCGCCAGCGCGGCGCTGCCACCCGCACGTGGGCTCACGTCCTGGCGCGCCGCTGCTGCACGGCACCCGTGCGCACCCTCCATCGCCGCGGCCACGGCCCTCGCGCGGTCGACGACGCCGGCCGGCAGGCCAGCCACGGCGGCAACGGCGATGCCGCAACTGCCGTTTGGCGCTGCTCCGGGTCGCAGCTGGAACGTGTTTTGAAGCACCAGGCCGCCGCACGACCCCACAATGGGCCGCACCGCCGCGGCGCCGTGGCTTCTGGCTGCTACGGACCCTGCCAGCCGCCCCGGCTGATGCAGCAGGGGACCCTGTGGCAGGCCGCCGTCAAACCACGCGCCCACCCCCTGCTGCTGGTGCTGTTGTTGCTGCTGCTGCTGCTGCTGATGATGATGATGATGATGATCACCGCCGAGGGGTACAGGTGAAAACAGCTCCGAGGCCATGTGGGCGAGCTGCACGCGGCCCGACAAGCCCGGCTCCAGCGTCAGGCGGTGGTAGTGCGTCGCAAACAGCACGCGCGGCGCCGCGCCGCCACGGCCACGGCCGCCGCTGCTGCCACCGCCACCGCCCGTGAGGTGGTCCAGAACGGCGTACGCGAGGGCGCAGCCGTCAAACGTGCTGGTGCCCCTGGATGTGTAACACGGCGGCGCCAGTGTGCAGTGCATCAGGGTGATTTGGAACGGGTTGGGGATGGACTGCAAATAGTGAAGCCCATTCTGGATCAAGACACTGCACGCAACACACGCAGCACCAAGGGATTGACGCACGATGTCTACGCGCAGCGCAAGGCGGACGTTTGGCAGCGAGCGTCTCCGGCTGACGGCGGCCCTCGCGTGTCAATTGGCACGCCTTTTCTGGCCCGGGGCCCGCATCGACACCCACCTGCCGAGCTCGTCCAGCACCAGGAGTGAGCTGGGGGTGGCCAGGGCCATCGCCAGCGACGCCTCAGCCATCTCCACGGCAAAGGTGGACTGGCCCAGCATGATGCGGTCCTGCGCCCCCATGCGTGTGAAGATGCCGTCCACGGGGCTACCATGGGGTGTGCAAGTGGGGATGATATTCGAGGCGGTGTGTATGGTGTGAGCGCGAGCGTGCTCATGCAATTGTGTGCGGGTGCGTGTGTGTGTGTGTGCGCGCGCGTGTGTGGGTGTGTGTGCAAGCATATTTCAGCATGTTCATATCTGTTTGTGCATGAGTTGGTATGTGTGGGCATGTGCACGTGTGCAGTATGTGTGCACTTGTTTGTGTGAGAGAGCACACTAGCAGCATGTAGGGATCATGGGCGGCCCACGGCATTGCGGGATCCAGGTGCGCCCAAGCTGCACGGTCAAGGCCGCCTGTGCTGCGTCCCCACACCAGGCCCACCTGACTAGAGCCTCGGCGGCTGGCGCGTAGCAGCCGACCTGGGCGCAGATGGCGGCGACGCACGCGGCACGCAGCAGCGTGCTCTTGCCGCTGGTGTTGGCGCCTGGGCGGGGGCGGAGGGGCGCTCAATGTGGGTGGCGCGGTGCACAAGTGGCAGCGAGGGGCACAGGGCAGTGTTGAGGACGTTGCATCAGGAGAGGCCACAAGGGGAGGCCCTGGTCCTCAGCCCGCACGTCTCTCAAGCCCCGCGCGCGTGCGTCGCCGGACCCGCTGGCCCGCTCAGCTGCGCCGGCGCTCATACCTGTGAGCAGCAGTGCCCCCGGCTGCTCCCCACCCAGCAGCAGGTCGTTGGGCTGCCCCATGGGAGGGGCCGCCCCCGCGCCGCACGCCATCAACAGCGGGTGCCTGTGAGTGCGCGGGCGCATGGCACATTCGAAAGGCCTTGTGAGCAGCATGCTGGAGAATTTGGAACGGCGCGCAGCAACGACAAGGCACGAAACCATGGAACCACAATCAACATCGGCACCCACCAGAGGCCTTTGAAGTGCAGAGGTGGCGTGCCCGCGGCGGAGCCTGCGCCGGCAGCCGCGGCAGCTGCAAACACGGGCCTGCAGAACGCTGCGCCAGGCGGCGCCGCCTCCGTGACCGCCGCAAACCCCGCGAGCACGTCCAGCTCCGCAGCTACTTGCACCAGGGCTGCCAAGGGGGCATAGCTGCCCAGCAGCTGCCCGGCCGCCGCCCGGAGCGCGGCCGCGGTTGCGTCAGTCATCGACTGCACGGCGGCGGCTCGGGCGGCGGCGAGCCGCTGCAGCGTCGGGCAGCGCACCAGGATGGTGGCAGGGGCTGAGCCATGGCCAGCAAACTCAAAGTGGGGCGGCGCCAGCAAGCCGCCGCAAGTAGCAGGCACCTGCAATATTGTTGTGGGCCGCAAGCGGGGACATCCTGATTGCAGCCTATGAGCGCAGGGTGCACATTGCTTGATGAATGCACAGCTTGCTTGGACAAGAAGCGTGGATCGCCAGAAAGCCAACAGTCTTCCAGGTGTCGTGGACTGCAGGCCACTCTCAGCGCACCTGCAAAAGCCCCCCCTCGACATCGACGACACTCGCGCCCGCCGCCGCCTCCTGCTGCTTCCCCTTCTGCTGCTGCCGCTTCTGGCCTCCGCCGACGCGCTGCTGATGCTGCTGCTGCTGCCGACCTGCGGCGCTGCCCCCAAACATCGTGAGCGCCTCGCGTGTTGCAGAGGTCAGCCGCTCCTCAGCTGCCCGCAGCTCCTTCGCCGCCTCGTCGCACCCTTCGTCCGCACCCTTTGCCAGCCTCAGGCCTCCTTCACCGAAAGATGACGCCCCGCTCTCGCCCCCGCCAGCCTGCTGCGTCCACTCCGCCCCCTCCAGCAGCCGCGACACCTCAGCCACCGGCCCTGCGCAGCGGGCCGCCTCCACAACCGCCCTGTGGACAAGCGGCAGCTTCGAGGACGAGACGCCCAGCTGGCCCATCTGCCTGCGCAGCATGGCGACCGCCTCTACGAGCGCAGACAGCGCCGCTGGCAGCTGTCGCACCGCACGCCACGTGGACTGGCGGGCGTCGGCCGCCCAAGCGCCATCAGCAGGGTCTGCATCAACGCCGCCCGCGGCGCTGGCCCCCCCGGCGGCGCCCCAGGCGCTGCGCGCTGGGACGTGGTGCTGGCGTGTGGACTGCTGCGGCTGCTGCTGGGCATGGTTTTGCTGCTGCTGCTGCCGCGCCTGCAACAGACCCCGCCACGCCGGCTGCCGCCCCTGCTTTGCTGCCGCAGTCGCCACTGGGTGCGGCACGCTGCCCTGCCGCTGCAGCCACTGATCCGACAGCTGCCCCTCCCCCACCGCCTCTAACCAGGCATCCTGCGAGCCAGCCCCCTCCTCAGCCACCCGCGGCCCCGCCGCCTCCCCGCCGAGCCGCCCGCCGCCGGCGTCCCCGCCGCCGCCGCCCGCGCGCCGCAGCAGCGCCTGCAGAGCGCGCGCGGCGCGGGGCAGCAGGCGCTCCGTGTCAGGCATGCGCTTCAGCGCGGATTGCAGGGCGCTGGCGAGCGTGGGGTACTCTTTGAAGAGGTCCACCACGGCCAGGCGCTCCTCAATCAGGCTGGACACAGTCAGCGGCCTGGTTCAGGGGATGGCGCCCATGTCATCGTGTGGTCATGCGGTGAGCTGCGTGCTCGACTGTGCGCTTTGTGGCATGGCTGGGATGCAGTGCTGCCGCACACGCGAGCAGCACCGCAAGCCCCAACACGCGCACACACCACATGCAAAACATCAGCCAGCTACGTATGCGATGTACCTGCATTCAGGCTCATTCCCAAGGATAAAGAAGTAAAACGAGCAGCCTATCACCTGCACAGCCAGTGGCGGAGCTGCCGCCTCCCAGCGGCGCTGGCGGTGCCGTCGAGCGCTGCGAAAAGAGAGCCGCGCCGCTCCCCGAGGGGCCCCTGCAGCACGTGCAGCGTTGACAGGGCGCGGTCGTCCAGCAGCATGTGCTGGCGCTGCGGCGGGTGCGCCGGCTGCTGGGAATAGCCGTCGCCGCCGCTACGACCAGCCTCCATGGCCCCTGCGCATTCGTGGTCAGTATACACACAAAGCGGCATGCGTAGCCTGAGTGAGTAATCACAAGAGAGGTGCCATGTGCACGGCACTGCAAGCACAACAGCTTAGGCAGATGTGACGTTTGTGAGTCGTTTGGCCCTGCCAAAGGCGGATGGAGCGGCGCAGCCTACCCGTGGGGACTCCATCCACGTCCAGCGGAGCAAACATCAGCGTCGGCAGCAGCTCCTCCGCCAGCCCGCATCGCTGCAGCTGCCCCACAGCCATGGCCAGCGCCTGCAGCCCCAGCCCGCCCAGCCCGCCCGCGTCGCCGTTGCTGCGGTTCGGGCCATTGATATGCTGCTGACCATCCAGCTGCGGGGCGCTCCACTGCTGCACGCTGGCTGATGGCAACAGATCGGCCAACGCGCGCAGAGCAGCTGGCGGCAGCGCGCGAGACAGCAGCCGCCGCGCCTCCCCCGCGCCCCCGCACCCCGCCGTCGCCGCCGGCGCGAGCGGGGCGAGCACCGCTCCAGCGCCGGCGCCGCCGGCGGGGCGGCAGTGTGCGTCGAGGGCGGCGAGGGTGGGGCTGGACAGGGCGCCGCGGGTGCAGAGGACCTCGACGGGGTCGAAGCGCACCAAAGCAGTGCACAGCGCGGGGCGCGCCGGGGAGCCCTCCCTGAACGAGCCGACATGCACCTTGTGTGGCGAGGCAGGGATGCACGGTAGGGGGCCGGCATGAGGGTCAAGATGGCAGGGAAGCACAGAATGGGCATTGTTGGTGGGACTACAACAGGACTGCTGCACACTGACAGCAAAGCACAAGAAGGCAGCAGATTAACCAACTTTCCCTGTCGACTCACCTGTGCCGCAGCAACGTCCACCACGCAGACGCCAAAGGCCGCGACGCCGCCTCCTCCGGGCCCCGTAGCCGCCTCAACCACGCACAGGAAGGGGCGCGCATCCTGCCCTAGGTCGTCCTGCGCCAGAGTTGGCAGGGGTGTTGGCAAGAAGTGCATGCGGGTGCGTGAGCTGCAAACTATACGTGGTTTGTAACAAAGCAGCCCCTTGAGGGCGCAATCCTGTGCAATTGCAGCCTTCGCCTGGCCGCGGGCTGGCCTTGCAACTCCCCGGACCAGGAAGGGCGTCAGCGCTCACCGCCAGTAGGCCGTCGACGGCCGTGCCTGGTGTGTAGATCTTGACCAGCCGCCGCTCCAGCAGCTTCCTGGCAGCTGCTGCGGAACCGGCCTGGCTGCGCGGCATCTCCTCTACGCGACCGACGCTGTACCCCAACGCCAGCACCTGGGGATGGGGTGAGAGACCGGCACACGTGCACATGTGCCAGGCAAGGTTTCTGAACTTGGGGCACGTACAATGTGACGATGATATTGACAGAATACTAAGCCGTTCAAGTGCATGCATGTGATCAGGCGCAGGCAAGAAAAGGTGAGGCGCGCCATAGGCTATCAGCAATCAAATGACCGCAGGGGCCTAGGTGAATCTTGCCTTGGCAGCCCAGGCGGCGAAAGCGTCCTTTGTGCAGCCGCACTTCCACATGTTGGCGGTGCGCCTGCCGCTCAGATTGAGGCCCACGCGCATGCCCAGGTCCGCGTCTGTGTCGAAAAGGTTGTAGAAGCTGCGAGGGCGCGTGCCCCATGCGTAACGTTGCGGGGCACGCAGGATTGAGGGCAAAGTGCATGGGGCCCTGCTTGCACAGGACCCATGCGTTGGGGGCGCCGAGGCTGTCCAGGCGAAGCATGGCAACAGCGGGGGGCGCCCATGTGCGCGACATGCCCGGCAACATTGGCTCATGCACACCTTCCGTGCCTCACAAAGAGGACGAGATCCATGGCTCGGCTCTTGATGCTCCAGAACTGGTGAGTTGGGGGCATGGAACAGGGCAGGGCCGCTCGGTGCGCGTCATCAGAGGCGGCCCCTTGTGGTCCTTCGTATGCGGGCTCGACATACAGTACAGCCTTAGGTAACGCCATGGCTCCAAAGTAGCTCGTGAAATCACACCCACCTGCTTGTTAAACTCGCTCATTGCCGCCAGCGCAGTTGCAGGGATGTGCAGCGTGCTGGGGTCGAAGCCAGGCTGCCCTGAGGTCCAGGCATGGGCAGTGCACGGCAGGCGTGGCGTTAGAGGCCTTGTGCCACATGCAGGCCTAGCCTCGCGTACATGCATGCACATGCACAGCCCAAGATCTTGCGCACACCCCTCTGGTCCCACCTCCCACCTGGGCGCTTGCCCTGGGCGTCCCGCCGCTCTTGCCCCAGCCACGGCCACCGCTGCCCGTCCTCGCCCGCCGCCTCATCGCCCAGGCCGAAGCCTGCTGCCTCAAGCTTCGCCAACAGGTGCCGCGGGCGATTCTGCTGCGCTGTTGCTTCTGCATGGAGGGTGCCCAAAGCTGCGGGTGGGGTTGGTCTCTGCTTCCGCTCCCGCTGCTGCTGCGGCGGCGCCGGCGCTCCCCACGGCTGCGCTTCAAATGCTGGCTGCACCTCCATCTGTTCTTCCTGCTGCCACTGCCGCTGCGGGCCCAAGCCCTGCGGGTGATTTTCAGGTGGTAGGTGTTGCTGCTGCCTAAGTTGCACTGGTTGCGAGACGCCCACTGGGTGCTGCAGCTGCTGCGGTCCACATAGTGTGTTTGGCCATGTGCATGGGCCCGCCTGAATCTTTGCTTGCTCTGGCCCTGCCACCTGCCGTTGCTGCTGCAGCGTTACCGTTTGCGCTTGCCACTGCTGCTGCTGCTGCTGCTGCTGCTGCTGCTTTGCATGAGCCAACAGGCTCCTGGCACTCACAACCTTGCTGCCTGCTGCGTGCTGCGTCCGCATGTGTGCTGATCGCATGGTGCCCGCTCGTTGGCCCCACTGCTGCTGCTGATGGTGGTGCTGCCCTGCATGTTGCTTCCATGGCTGCCATAGCGGCGCGCCATCATCAGATGTTGCCTTGAGGAGTTTGTCTGTCAACGGGGTTAGAGGCTTGACGTTCGCGTCTGGTGGCACGACATCTGCAAGCGGAGCCCTCTGCTGCTGCTGCTGCTGCTGCTGCTGCTGCTGCTGCTGCTGCTGCGGCTGCTGCTGCGGCTGCTGCTGCTGCTGCTGCTGCTGTTTTGGCAGCCGTGGGGTTGCAAGTCCTTGTGGCTGCAGAGTGGCATCCTGTGCAAGTTGTGGATGGCGCTGCACCGGGGGCCCGAAGTGCGCCACCGCCAACTGTGCTGCACTGGCCACTACATTATGCTCCTCATACGGCAGTGGTGCCTGCAATAACAGGTGACTATGCTGCGGTGACAACGCACAAAGGGTGCCATGGCGCAGTTCAAGCGGGCATTGTTGCCAGACGTGACACATGGGGACTGTGATGCACTATCAGCACCATCTCTTGCACGAGCCTCGTGTACTCACCTGCAGAACTTCGGAATAGAAGTTCAAGGATTGCAGCAAGCTCATTGGAGCCTGTCACAGATGTGCAGATCACATGTGATCACTTGACACACAGCAGTTTGCGCGGGCTTATCCTTCAGTATACTGAAGATGTTGATATGGCATGTTGATTTCAAAATTGCCCTATATTAGGCGTATCACAACAGCTCCTACTGTATTGCGTCTGTTGGACGTTGTGTGTCATTGGGCAAGTTGGCCGTGGCTTCGCGAGGTGGATGCTCACTAGACTACTTTAGAAATTATAGCAGCTGGACGCGAGGATGAGCTGCATACTGTTGGCGGTCGCCGCCGTGACCGCGGCACCCATTCTTGTGCTGCTGCTCGCGCTGGCGCTTCCCCCAAACGTCCCGTCCAAGCTCCAAGTGAGGGCATGGCGCGCCCTGGTTGCGCCAAGAACAAGCGGATGGGAGCGTTTCGACTTGCATCGCCCTGCCATCGGATCAAAACGCAGAAGGAGGCAGCGTACAACGTCGTCGATCGCTGTGTCATGCATGGGGGTGGCCTCACGCGCTCTCCTCAACCCTCGGTCTGCAGGCCCTGCCCAACCTAGGCGGACTGTACCTGCAGCTCCTGCGCGCCGCAGTGCGCAAGGGCAAGGTTCCCAAAACCCTTACGGGCCACAAGGAGGTCAAGGTGGGGCTCTCAGTGCAAGGGGCCGCGTGAGGCGATCCGGGCGGGCGGGCGTGTGTGGTTATTCTGTGAAATACAGGCAGATGATGCGCTGTTGCGGCGTCGGCATCCGCCCGCACCTACCACTGGCTGTGCGCGCCGCGGCCATCCGTGCGCCGGCGCCAAGCACTTGAGACCGTGCAAGGGCAACCGCGGCAGCGATGCCTGCTTGATGCTGACGCACCCTTGGCTGAGAGAATCCCTCCGTACCCCTGAGCAAAGTTCTTGAGCCTGTAGCACCTTGGCATGTGTTAACACACACACACACACTGCCCTCCTCTCTGTCCGCTCCCATAGCTCGCCCTGGCCAGCGCCACGCCCTTTGACACGCAGTGCTACGCCACGTTCCTGCGCCTGGCCGGCTACGACGTGCCGCCCAAGGATGCCCCCCTCATGTACCCCATAGCCGAGAGCTTCCGCCTCAGCATGCTGGCCATGAGCCACCCCGACTTCCCCTTCAATGTGCTGGGCAGTGTGCTGGCACGCAACAGGACGGAGGCGAAGCGGCCGCTGGCCAGCGAAGAGCGCCTGCTGTACAGGCGGGTGGCGATCCCGCGTGGCAGTGAGGACGGACGCTGGCTGCGGCTTGCAGACACGCGGCGCCCTCGTGCACCAGCAGCTGCGCTTTGCCCTGCAGGTGCTGCGCTGCAGGGCCGTGCGCTGCCGCCGCCAGGCGCAACATCCACATCTATGACAAGAGGCGCACCCCCTCTGCCTGCAATGCCCTGCTCCATGCCACGCCCGCAGCGTGCGCATCGATCCCAACTATGTCAAGAATGAAAAGGGCGACATCGAGATCATCATCGAAACCACCGGGGCCACCCCCAACGGTGAGCCTGCCGGGTTAGAGGAGTAGAATGTACTCAACTCACTGGTAGCTAGCAGGGTTAGCCGGGCAGGCCGCCATCCCTGGTGCGAAAGTGCACTGTGGGTCCCCTGCTAAGCACAAGCCTCTGTGACCTGTTGCTGCCTGCCCGTCCCCAAAAGCCCCCGAACGCAAAAACCCTGGCCTTTCTGTTCCAGGCGAGGTGGTGTGGACCAATTCGCTGACCGTCATCGTCATCAACCCCAAGAGGGAGCGCGGGCCGGTCGGCGGCAAGGCGGCAGCCGCGGTGGGCGGCCCGACGCGCCATGCCATCTGTTGTGGTACATGGTGCCACCGACGTCGGCCCTGCTGCCCGGCCCTTGCCATGCACTCACTTGGCCCACAACCCTTCACAGCCACCTGCGAGCCCAGCGCGGCTTGGCCGCACCTCTCAACCCCCCGTCAACCGCCTCTTTGCAGGCGGAGGCCCCGCCAGCGCGGACGCTGCTGGCCACCTGGTCGGTCCCCGGCGACGCGGGGCGCCGCTTCGGGGCGCTCACGGGGGACCGCAATCCGATCCACCTCTACTCGTTCACGTCGCAGCTGTTTGGCTTCAAGAGGCCGATCGCTCACGCCCTGTACCTGGTGGCGCGCCTCGAGGCTGCGTTGGTCAAAGCGGGTGAGAGTGACGGCAAAATTGGGGCCAGGAGCCGAGCGCATGACGACAGTGTCGACCTGCGGGGCGGCCAAGCCACCAGCACAGCCTTATGGGCAAGGAGGCTTGGTTGCGGCCCTCCTATGTGATGCGCCGCATGCTCCCAAACATCGTGAAGTCACCCCCAAACCAACACCCTCCGCCCATCCCAAAGCGCAACAAACACCCGCATTCGCACACTTACACACGCCGCAGGGCACTCGGCGGCATACCCCGCTGTGTTTGATACGGACTTCAAGCGCCCCACCATGCTGCCCGCCAAGCTGCAGTGCGTTGAGGTCAAGGGCACCAGGCCGCTGCAGTGCGCGATACTGACGGGCGACGGCAGCAAGGACGTCATCCTGGGGCGGCTGACCGTGAAGTGAGGTGGGGGACACGCAACGTGGTGCGCCCGAGCCACACCTGAGGTGCAGCAATGGTTGAACACACGCGTTGCCGCCCCAGGTGTCATGGCGGCCGTAGAAGGTAACATGGAGAGTACCACGCTCACAGCACATTAGTGCATGAGTTTCCCAACAAATGCATTGTTAGAGACTGCAAATTACCTGGTGTAAGTTGGTCACGTTGTGAGGGTCTTGTTGGCGAGCGTATTGCTTGGCTCCAGTGG